TTTCCTGCTCCTCTGATGCTGCCTGGCCTGCTATGTTCCTCCAGCTCCACACTGTGTTATCTCTGACTCCAGCATCAGCAGTTCTTACTATCTCCCAATGGAGGGTGGTTGGTTTGCAATGTAGACTGACACCAACAACACAGGTTTAATTCCTACACTGTCTGAGGCTCCTGTGAAGGACCTGCTTTCTCACCCTTCAATACAGAACCTAAGGGTACTTGTGCAAATCAACAGAACAGTGATTCTGTCTCCTCAAACGACAGTTTATAAGCACTTTTAATCACAGAATCACTACAGTGTGGAAGCAGGCCATTGAGCCCATCATCACCACACTGACCCTCCAAAGAGCATCCCAGCCAGACCCACACCCCTACCCTACCCTACACAGGTAACCTTGCATTTTACCTTGGCTAACTCACCTACCCTGCACCTCCCTGGATAGTCTGGGCAATTTAACATGGCCAATCCCCCTAACCTACACATCTTTGGACTGTGGGAGGAATTATGTGGGGATTTTGTGCCTGCACAGACAGACAGACAGTCACCCATGGATGGAATTGAACCCGGGTCCCTGGTGTAGTGAGGCAGCAGTGCTAGCCACTGAGCTACCGTTCCGCCCAATAATATCGCTGGATGCACATCCGATCATCTTGCCAAATCCCATCAGTTCCAGACCACCATGTGTTCCATCCAAAATATGACAATAATGCCAATGTTCAAGCTACGTTCTAAGGTTAGGACAGATAAAATAACGAGAAACTGCTTCCAGCGGTAATTGGAACAGTAACAAGTAAGCAGAGATTTCAGGTACTTGGTAAAAGACACAATGAGGGTAAGTTATTTTATACAGCAAGTTGCTGTGATTGGAAATGCTCTGTCCCAAAGGGGCACAGATTTTACAGTAACTTTCAAAAGAGAAATGGATAAATACTTGAGGGAAAACATGCAGAGATATGGGAGGGGGGGTAGGTGGTGTAGTCAAGTGTACAGAATTAACTGAATAGCTCTTTTCAAAGAACCACCATAGATAAAGTGGACTGAGTGGCCTCTTTCCATGCTGTGTACTTGTGCGTGAAGATCCAAATACAGGGCCCATTATTCCATGTTGTACCTGGAAGACTTGCAGCTCTTCGAGAAGAAGCTCTTCCATGTTCTGCCAACTTTCCTTTGGCACCGAGATGACTTTCAAAACTGTCCCGATATCTGAAAGTCCAAAGGAACAGCTAAATTGGAGGACTGCAGCAGGCCAATATAAACAAGAAAGGCTATTTAGAGGCAGCTTGTAGCTGGTAAATTAAAAGGCAAACATACCTGTTCCAATAAACATAACATCATAGCGTCCATCGCCTGCATCCACTCTGTCTACCACTATCTGAGTGAAGCTGTAGTCAACATTGGTTTTCACCAGGATTGGTCGATGGCCAATGGGGTTAATGGCATTGTACATCAGGGGATGGTTTCGAGCAAACAGTACGACGTCGTCAGGAAACTCTTTGGTTGACTGAAAGCCCCCAAAGGTTTTGCTTGGACACTGGGAAGATGAAAAACAAGAGCATCTTAATGCTTAGGAACATGATAGTACAAGAGAAAATATGCTTCTAATGGCAACAAAAGTTTGGTGCCAAAGCCTTGGCTCCTTTGCAATGCGGTATGGATTATTTACCAATACTGAAGAAAATACAAAATTAGAAATACCATGAAAGCATGTACCTTTTGTTCTATATTATCATCAGAGAACCATTACAGCACAAAGAGAGGTCATTTGGCCCTCTATCTCCTGCTGGCTCTCTGCAGGAGGGCTCATCCAGTCCTACTCCCTTGCCTTTTCCCTGTCTTCCTGCAAGTTTTTATTTCCTGCAAAGTTCCTGCAAAATGTTATTATCTTCATATATATCTTCATCTTTTATTATCTTTTCATTTGGAAGCTACAATTGAATCTGCCTCCACCCACATTCCAAATCCTGATTTTCATCCTCTTTCATCACTTGCCTTAAGTCTGTGACCCCTTTTTTCCCAAAGCATCGTTTTTCTATCAGAAATAAAAGGATGAAAGAACTGCAGATGCTGGAAATCAGAAACAAAAACAGAATCTGAGGAAGGGTCAGACCCAAATTGTTAATTCTGATTTCTCTCCACAGATGCTGCTGGTCCTGCTGAGCTTTTCCAGCAATTCCTCCTTTTGTTTTTTGTTCTATCAGCCTTGTGGTTCTGGACTATTTGAGGCAACATGGTCTGAGCTTGATTCTATGTAGCTGGGTTAATTTGCAGCATACAGGTCACCTCACAATACTCCAGACAGGAAGCAAGGGGAATCAGGCCAGGATTCTTGTCCTTCTTTGTTATTTAATGACTTAAAAAGTATAAGAATATAGATATGACAGAGACTGGGTCAGTCCCAGCATCAATGCCCATTCTTAAGGAACTTAACAGAATTGATGCAGAAAACTTGTCTCCTCTTGTGGGAGAGTCCAAGAGTATAGGGGATAATCACGGGTAAAGGAATCGTCTGTTCAGGAAAGAGATGATGAGGAATTTTTTTCTCAGAGAGTGGTGAATCTGTGGAATTCTTTACCACAAAGGGCTATCAAGGCTGGGTCATTAATTATTTTCAGGGCTGAGATAAGCATATTTCAATCAGTAAGGGAATCACGGGATGTGGGGAAAGGCAGAAAAGCAGAGTTAAGGATTATCAGATCAGCCATGATCTCACTGAATGGTGGAGCAGTCTTGAAGGGCTGAACGGCCTACTTCTGCTCCAATGGCTTATGATCCTGCAGATAGCCAAGCAACCAATCATCACCCAGGCCAGTACATGAAGACCATCATTTGAAGATGAGTCACAGACAGCCTGCATTCATATATCACCTTTATAAGGCAGTGGAATACTGAAGCTGGAGAACTTAATCCCAAAGATTGAGCTCGACCTGGATCAGAGGTTGACATGTTAGGGATTACTGCCACTGCGGCTGTAGGTGGGCATTATCAGAGGAGATGAGAGTTCCATAAATGCATGGCAGACCTTAAGGAGATTAGTTTAAAGGGGTTGAGGGGCATGAGTTACTCGGTACAGATTTCCCAGCCTCTTAAATTCTTGTAGTCACTGTATTTATATGGCCAGTCCAATTCAGTATCTGGTCAATGGTAACCCCTAGTTTGTGCCTGAAAACCTTTAATGTGAAGGGTATGGTGCAGCCCATCCCCATTCCCATTCCCATGGGCTGAACATTAAGGTCACTGGATAACAGTTGACTGACTTGCAGAATTTTCTCACTCAGTAGAATTTAATAGAGAGTGCAGCAGCACCTTACAGTTGATAATGGGGGATTCAGTGATGGTAGCGTCATTGAAACTCAAGGAGAGATGATTGATAGAGATGGTCATTTCCCGATTCCTATACAGTCCAAATGTTATTTGCCAGTTATCAGCCCAAGCCTGGGCACTGTCCAGGTCTCTCTGCTTACGGACTGTAAACTTGTTTTTTGCTGGCAAACGTGAGTTTCAAATTATGGTTGAAATGAGGAAAGAAACACTGAGGAAGGGAAGACGTTACATAGTTTAAAATTGTAAGGAAGGAGGAGCTAAATGTGGGAGACTGTGTATGTCAAAAGGTGTAAGGTTTAAGAATATTCCTTTTGCTTCCAGAGAATGAGTCCCTGCAGATTAAGGAATGGCACTTTAAGCAAACAGAGCCATGAGAAGAGCTCAACTGATTATGTTACATTACTTGTCAATGTAGCACTGTCAGGATTATTTAGCAAGTGTTGCCCAATCATAGAATCAAATCCAACAGGAGACACTTTGTTTTGGGATTTGCAAGCACGGGTTGGTAGAGTATGGTCTGCATTTTATTTCCAACAGGGAGGAGCGGGTATTTGCTGCTGTCCTCAGGTCTAAAGGGATCATAGGGTGTGGGGGTGGGGGGGAAGCAGAATGAATGTACTGAGTTGGATGATCAGCCATGATCATAACGGATGGCACAGCAGGTTCAAAGGATCGAGTGGCCTTTGTTTCCATGGAACAAATGAAGGAACATGTTGCTTGATACAATCCCGCAACCGCTTAGACATTGCTCAACTGAGTCACAAAGTCAAAACAAATTAACTTTCACAACTTTGGAAAGGATGCTACATTCAGTGTGCCTCATAATTAGTTCATGTCGCATTTTAACTGGGTCCTACCATTCCTGGCCGAGGGTATGGCACTTTCCCCTGGTATGGTACCCACTGATAGTTTGGACCCTCTTTATGGGCGAAGGGTCCCAGGAAAGCTCTGCGAATATCGTTCATGCTGTAGACACACACAGCTGAGCCTTTGAAGACATTGCTGAAACAAATGGCACAAATTATAAAGCAGTTAGAAACAAGTCAGACTCATTGAAACTGCACAAAAGGCCATTTCACATTTCACCGCATCCCATGAATGAATAAGAAAGCATCAGAAAATATCGCACACCTTATGTCATTGCCATTTGTAAAGGGCCTCAGAGGGAGGGACAGGTGAGTGAGAAAAGGGTTGGCACCAACAGATGAGAAACTTCACTTTTCTTTCTGGGAAATGCATGGCAAATCACTTCAACCCCCCCGAGTCTTCCTCTGAACCCTTGGTCACTTTGATAGGGAGGGAGTTGGCAGATGATCTAAATGAACTCTTTCCCTGCCGGGAGTGTTTACCTTTTCCAATGTCCCTTTGACCCGACGGTTGAGTCAGGAGCAGACCTCACTTCGACCCTGAGCTGCAACTCCAGGGAACTTTGTGATCTGCACTTTCAGTCTTATTTCCCCAAAGATACATTCAGCAGCAGATCAAATTTGCTTCAAGTGGAAAACAGACCAGGTGTTTTCTTTTAATAAAACACATCATATCTTCCCTGGCTCTGTCACTGCCACTTATATTAAAGTGTACATTTACACTTTGTGTTAAACCTTCACTGGTTTATTCTCTATCTTATAGCCCAAGGGGTTTTGTTTTGCATGAAGGGTTAGTTAGATTTGTGGCAAATGGAATTTAACCGTGATAAGTGTGAGGTGGTGCACTTTGGAAGTACTCAACAAATGGCAGGACACTGGGAAGCTCAGAGGATGAAGTTTAGATCTTGGGATGCTTGTCCGCAGATCGCTAAAGGTGTCAGGACAGGTTAATAGTGTGGTTCAGATGGCATACTGGATGATTGCCTCCATCAGCTGTGGTGCACGGGGAGGTTATGTAGGAAATAAAAACCAAAAGAACTGTGGATGCTGTAAATCAGGAACAAAAACAAAGTCGCTGGAAAAGCTCAGCAGGTCTGGCAGCATCTGTGGAGGAGAAAACAGAGTTAACGTTTCGGGTCCGGTGACCCTTCCTC